GTTTAATTAACCTGTAAGAAATATGAACTTGACTTTCCAAGGCCCCTAATTAAATAATGTGTGACAGTTTTAAATGTTATTTGGTCATTACCAAAATAGTCAGTACAATATGACAACTTTAACTGAGGAGGATAAATATTTCCCGGGACCAAAGCCCTCCGTAGGGTGTGTGGTTGGGGAGAGGAGCAGTCTAAAGAGATTGCCCAGGTAGGTGCTGAGTTACGGTGATCTTGAGTGAGTATGCCTCTGCCCCTGCTGAAGTACCTAGCACAGTGGAAGTGGAGACTGCCCTGGCTGAGAGCGAAAAGATCTATTTCCAGGTACACATCTCGTTAGAAGCTAGGCTCCAAAAAGAGATAGGCAAGAGCAGGGGAAGTCATTTCAACTCCATATCCTCTCATGGCCTCAGGGGAACAGAAGCAATGGATTGTTTTCCTATGAATGGAATCCTATTTTTCATTTGTTGTTGTGTTTCCAAAAGGTGGGTTAGTATTCAAGTGAAATGAACACCAGATAGTCACTGTTATTAGGAGAATTAAAGTGTTCAGGTAACTTAAGAATGTGCTTTAGATGAAATGAAAAATAACTGAGAGACATGCCATGTTGTCCACTAAATTTTCCTCCATGGATAATGTGGACAAATAAATATAGCCATAGTTACCTGAACAGTAGCTGGGTTTTCATTTGAGTGACTCCAGTGAGGTTAAAACATGAGGTTGAGGTTTTCAGTCATCCTGGGATGTGTGTCACTGGGTTTTCCCTCTTTGGAGATGGCCCCAGGAAAGAGAAAAACAGGAGGATGACTGATGGAGCTTAGAGGTATTCTCATTTGAATTTTAACAAAATTCCTGTTTTGCTCTTCTTTAGTTCTAATTTTCTTTAATTCATCTAAATATCATTGTGTTTATTAAAAAATTATTTATTGAGAAATTCCTTTAGCCAGGAATTTTCCTATGCCCTCAAGATGGCATAATTTTATAGTACTTGGCTCAAAGAAAGAGAGGCTTCAAAACTAAGGCAAGCAAAATGGTAAAGACAAAGTCTGGATGATTTGGGCAAAGAAATCTGGGAGTCAAGCAAAATTTAGTTTTCATAAAAGTTGAATCTTTAACTTTTTAATATGTAAAGGTGGGGCAGATTTCTCTTCTTAGAATAGGATTTTTTCCCAGAATAAGGATCCAGTTTTATTTCCTTAAAACTATCTTCACTTTTAGTATAATTGAGATTGCCTTTCTTAATTAATTAAATGTCACAACTCCAATATAATTATTTTGTGAATAATTATATTAGCTGTCTTCTGTTTTCATCACCAGGCCACCCTTTCTTTTTTCAACATTGATACCTATCTTAAAATGTTTTTTCATGGGCTTTTTACAATTCTGTAACAATTTTGGTAGGAAATAAATTATTTTAATATGCAAATTAGCTCTCCATGATAAAATATTTCCTAAATAATGTTTTAATATTATCTTTTTATTTTTATTACATAGAGTACAGAATTATACAGCTTTCTGGAGTTCCTATTATGCCTGCTGTCAACTGGCAGCAATAAGAAAGACCCTTTTTCAAATTATTTAATAATGCTTCAGTGTATTGTAATTTAGATACGTTTGGCCTTTAAGATATTTACAAACCATTTGGGAGCTTTATTGAAAAATTATACCATTTTAATTCTTTCATTAAAAAGCAATGTGGATGACCTTAGAAATAGAGGGGAAATTAACAAATTTGAACACTTTTGCTTGTAAATTGTATGCATATGTGTATGTTTTTATATAATTTTAATAATGGAATACATGAATTATGTATACTTTTTTAAACCTAGCATATTATCCAAAACAGTTTAGTATAAAAAGATGCACTGAAACATCTTATGGGAAGTCCGTAATTTCGTAGGCAAACCTGTTTCTTATTCCAATGTGTTACTTGCCTGGTTAGCCCAGATGATTGAACCATGGGACAAAACTGATGAAGGTTATGGTTTCAATTTCTGGGTAGACCAGTTAGCTTTACTCTGTTTCATGGCCACATGAAGGGACTAAATGACTTAGAAAGAAAATGTGGATGCATTAGTATGAGCTCATCTCCTCTGCAGGAAAAACACCTAGGTTTGTGCCAATCCCTGTCATTAGTGTCAGGATTTAAGAAACAAGAAGAGGAAAATCTCGATCCTCCAAATACAAAAGTGAATGCAATATAGCTTTCATCTCCGTAATATAACATAATGACCTGCCTTTTTATAGTTACAGTTGAGGGGTTCCAGCTGATCACCTGCCTGAAATTATTGCAAGCCTGGTGGGAAGCATCTGAGGAGGCACAGTCATGTTTTCATTTCACTAGGAAATCATTTAGCAAATTACTGCTGTTCTGTAAATTACTGTGCTGCATAACTTTCATACTGAGAAACTATTTTCTTTTTCCATAAAAATTGCAGATGAAAGGTTTCTACAATAAATGACCTGTGTTTAAAATAAAATCATTCCTAGAATTTAGAGAATGTGATATAGCATTTCTCGTGTGGAAATAAAAACAAATACATTCTTATTACTAATATTACACAATGACATATTCTCTGGTAAAGACAGTTTTTAATTTATTTACTTTGTTCCCCATTGAGGTGAATGCACAGAGGCTTCTGGGGGTGAAATAACAAGCTAAATACTTTTTTTAAAAAAAAGGAGAAGGACTAATTTTGGAAATTATAGTTCTTAAAGACTCTGTTTCGTATCCTGAAGAGAGTCCCACAATTGGTAATCAGCCTAAATAGAACAGAGTATTGGGAACAAACAGTTTTTATTATGCCAAGTCTTGTTTAGGATATCAATGTGAAGGGAAGTAGATCAGTTCTTTTAATTTTGCATTGAGGTAATATTGGCCCAAACATAATCTGGGGAAATGTGGCCTTATCCCCACAATCATTATGACTAAGAGGTTCACACTCCAAATAGGATGATCACTGCTGATGTGGCAGAATGCATACAAAACGACTCATTCCTCTGGCCTTTTCTAGAAACACTTGGATAATGGAACACAGAGCTGGCTCATTTCATTTCGGTGGCAATAAGATAGAAAAGCAGAGGCAGGATAGAAAGCAATTCTTCAGAGAATGAGGTCCCATTTTCGTGCTGCCTTTTCATAAAAAAAGGCTTAGAAAGAAGAATGAATGACTGATACTCAGAAAGACTAGTGAATCATAAGTAAACCCTCCCAAACTTAGACATTGTTATGAATAATGAACACAAAATGCTTCCATGGTAGCTAAAATTTAAAAATAACAATCACGATAGGTGCATATTAAAATTGTCATCTTATACCTAGAACTAGTTATAATATCACTAGACAAATACCTGATATTTGAATCTATAGTTAAATGAAGTTGTAGGGCAAAAGATTCAGAAGAATGGCATGAATATGGTTTCACTGTTGCAAATACAAGCCCTAAGGAAAAGGTTAGAAGAACTTTTATGACTCATTCTGAAGATGAGTAGACTAAGCAGCAATTTTTATGATTTTCTTCCAGCCTTTCTCAACTAGTCTTCTTCTTCGAAACTACAGAACTTAGAACATATTTTAACTAATACTTTTCAATTTCTCCCATAGATGGTGCATAACTAGTACCATTCTATAAATATTAAAGAGAAGTTAATTCATTAATACAAGAGTAACTTACAGCACAATTCTCATTTGTAATGGAAGTTGATGGCAATCGGACACACAGTGGATCGCAAACTAATGTTAGCAAAACATATGGAAACTAGAAAATGCATTTTAAAGCAAGGTATATACATATATATATAAAACACATAAGATAAAGAGTAGATTTCCTAGATATAAATTAATTAGCATTATAATAGCCTATTGAAGAAAATTGTACATTTTCCTTCTTTGAAGGATTTCGAGGTTTGGATTTACTTTATTCTCACTGGAATGGGATGAAGTGCAAAGCCTCTGTAGGCAGAGTTCTTTTCCCAACCTTAAATGTGTGTTTGGTTCTTTCAACAAGGAGCTATTCAAATACCTACTGTGGTGAAGCCCCAATGTTAGAAGGGGAAAGAGGAAGATACGGTCCTGCAGTTAAGAGGCAGTACCTGAGACCTATTTCTTCTCTGAGGAGCTCAGCTTCACATGGACAGAGAGAAAGTTGACGCTAAAGGAATCGAGAAGAGTAACATTTGAACCTCAGGCTGCTTAGGGGTTCTTCCAAAATATATTTTGTTATATCCTTAATATTCATCTTTTTCTAAAAGATAATGCCTGTTGAATATAGAACACTGCTTTAAGAATGCAGAATTATCAATCTGAAAATAAATGATTATTATTCAGGACTACAGACAAAGATATGGAAGACTAAATATTCATAAGGTAGATTCAGTGGAAATTTTGGTGTGTTACTTTCTAAAAGCAACCTGGTTTCTTATATTTATTTTGTGATACATGCAAACATAGGAAAACCCTGGATATTTAAAATTTTATTAGTTAACGTCCAAATAATTGAAGTCCTACTGTACATTCTTACTCATAGTGATAATTTATTAATTAATCCAGATTATCATTAATCTAAAATTGTTCACAAAGATCACTATTGACTTGGATTGTGCATTTAAACTGTAAGTGCCTTTTTGTAATGATACTTTAAGGAGTATTTGGACAAGACATCAGTCACACTGTGGATACAATCTGCTTTCTCTGGCGGCTTATTATTAATGTAAAATGAGAGTCCATATTGATCTTTGCTTATGCAGGAAATGCACATGAATTCCATGAAACTGCAAGTGAAGAGTGAGGGGCAAATTTTGGCTTCTAATAAAACAGTAGCTTGCATATTTGAGTACAAACCTCTCTTTTGAAATAAACAAAGATATCTTTTACTTGCAGAACTTTCCATTGTAATGAAGTCATGGCTAGAACAGTTAAAATAGGATAATACTTGAAAGTGAATGAGTACATGAATAAGATTTTGTGTTGCTTTACCTAACTCCTGCCCTCTTTTCCATTTACAGTTATTCAAGAGCAAGAAAATGAACCTGTGCCCCTATCCTTGAGCTCAGACATCTCCTTAAATAAGTCACAGTTAGATGACTGCCCAAGGGACTCTGGTTGTTATATCTCATCAGGAAATTCAGATAATGGCAAAGAGGATCTGGAGTCTGAAAATTTGTCTGACATGGTACAAAAGATTACTATCGCAGAGCCGAGTGACTGAACACACACTCTCAACTATATATCTACAGATGCATTCCGTTTTAACTCTTCTTGAGCTAAAACATCAAATAAGAGAGGAAGATAAATATTTGTAAATAAAACCTAGGATTTAAATGTTTTAATCTGAATAATTGTACATAAAATTTTGTATCACTAACATTCCAAATTATTGTCAATAAAATACATATTTATTATTTTAAATGCTATGTGTTAATATTTCACTTGCCTGTATTAGAAAGGCATAATGTAAGACTTTGGTACGTGTGACATATGCTTCATTTGACTTTCTTTTACAAGTACAATATCTGCAAAAAACAAAGTAATCTTTTTTCCTACCTGCCAGTTTTGAATTTGTATATGTTGTTAAACAAATAGTAATAGAGGATTCATTGTTGAAACAAGTTGTCCAAGCAATGCCATATTCATTTTTACACTTATTGGGAAAGTGTGAGTTAATATTGGACACATTTTATCCTGATCCACAGTGGAGTTTCAGTAATTATATTTTGTTGACTTCATTTTGTTTTCTAGTATAAAAGTATAGATAATGTGTTGTCACTTCTGATTTAGTGAAACCAATTGTAATAATTGTACAGATGTTTTGTCTTTAAGTGTAAATATTTTAAAATTTGACATAACCTAATGTTAATAATAAAAAGAACTATTTGCATATTGCATTTTCCAGAGTAGTGTTACTTGGGGGTTTTAATATTGGACTTTAGAGAAAATATCTCCTCCCAGACACTCCTTACTTTTTGTAATATAAGTGCATCCCATAGCAATAATCTCAACCTCCTCAACTTCATCTGTCCCCTGAACCCCAGTGATGTTTATCTGACTCACTTGATACCCCCAGGAAACTTCAATTCCACATAACCAAACCATCGATTTTCTCTACAAATTTGTTTCTGCTTTTTTATTGCCAACTCCTCTTCACTGCTACTAACACCCAGCCAGTCATCAAAGCAGAAAATCATTTCTTGCTTCATCTCACATATGTCATACAAATTCAATAAGTAATCAAGCCCTATGGATCCTACCTCTAAAAATGCTTTCATATTCATGGCGTTCTATCCATTTCCATGGTTGTTGTCTTGCTTTGGATCCTCATGATCTCATGCACGGAATATGGCAGTAACTTTCCAACCGACCCCCTACCTTCTCATCCATCCTCCACACAGCCTCCGGATAAATCTTTCTAACCCATGAATCAAATCAGGTACTCTTCTGCTTGAAAGTTTTGGATGGCTTCTCATTGTCTTTAGTATAATATCCAAACTTTCTTCCAGGCTGCATAAGGTATTCCCCAATTGCTTTGTACCTACAGTATGAATTGTAACTACCCCCTCACCACCACTACCACACACACACACCTCTCAATCTACACTCCAGTCATAACAATTGACTTGCAATTTTCTTCCCTTTGTGACTTTTCATATTTATTTGCCTGGAGTGTCTTCTGCTATTTTCCACATTAGGAAGTCTCCCTCTTTTCTCCATCCTGAAGGTCACCTACTCTGTGAAGCCTTCCACGATTCCCTTTCGTGCCCTCTTCTTTGTGTTTCCATTCCACTTGTCAATTGTGGGTCATAGCACTTGTCATATTATGCTTTATATATTTGTATGACAATTGCCCTTCTGTAAGACTGTGACCTCCTTGTGACAGAGATTATTTTGTTTAGCCTTTTTAATCACCGGTGCCTAACATAATACCTGGCACACAGTGGGCACTGAGGAAATATTTGCTAGAAGGCATTGAATATGATGATTATTCCCATATAACAGATTCCATCTTCCTATTTAAATTGATCCATTCGAACTTTAGGTAAGTACCTTCCAATGTGACCTATTTTTTTTTTAACAAATAAAACATAATACCTTAGGAAAAAACAGGAAACACACAGTGTTATTTCAAATGCTGGAGGATATTACACTGTTAATGTCTGGCATATTTTCCCAGACCCCTGAGATTTAACTGCATGTGCAGTGCCCAGGTGAGGCTAATGCGCCTATCTGCCTCTATTCTTCCCGCTTCACAGCATGAAATGGGGTTTCAGTTTCAGTTTTCCGAGGTGCTGCCTCCGTTCTGACCCCACTCTTGCTATGGCTACCATTCCAAATCGATTATTCTGGGCGTCTTTAAACACAGAAGTCACTAATCATGATTTTAAAACTTTAATCAACCTGCTGCCTCAGGGAGATCAAGACAGGATAGCTTCTTCATGGAGATGCCAGGAAACTGTAAGTTGGGGAGCAACTAACAAACTACTTGACTTTAAAACAGTGGCAATCGCCCATGACGCATACTCAGCCACGACTTCAATCACTTAAAAATGAAGGTCTGGTACCCAGTCAAGGATGTAGGGAAATGCTTTTGAGAGGAAGTGCTGCAGAGGCCTTGAGGAGATTGAAGCAGAGGAAGAGAGATTGGATTCCTTAAAAGAGGAGACACCATGAGGCTCAGGTGGTCAGGAGGAAGGCCTCATCACCGAGTTCTGCACTGAAAAGGACACAAGAATGGCAGACGTATACTCCACATTAAGGGAGCGCTGCTGTCCTCACCTTACCCACAGCTCCTTACAATCCCCTGCAGCTCTAGCCTCAGCTCCCTCAACGTGGGGGAGTGAACATCAACAGAAGGAAGACAGGTTTTCTCTTGGCCATGCAAAGCTGAACAAAGAGGAGCGGAAAGATAAGAAACAGCTCACCCAAGTTTGGGAGGTAGTGGAGGAACTTGGACCTTCTGCTGCTTTTGGCTGAGTGAGAGACATGAGCCCAAGCCTTTTAAGATGGCTAAAGGATTAACATTATAATAATTACAGGATCATGACACTGGCTTTGTGTTTCTAGGTTGAACCCTGATGGCATTCCCAGTCTCATTTGTTTATTTATTCACTCAGTAATATTTAAACTTGGAACGTGTATGCTGTCCAAGAAGATGCCAACAAAGGTCTTTTTAACGATACAACTGGGTGAAAATCATACCATAGCTTCTCTCATTGGAACCCACTGAGTCTTTCATGTATACACAGATCGGAATATACTGTTACTCTGATCCCAGAGATTCCGTATCTTTGCAAATTCAAGTATGTTGTGACAATATGCATGGTTAGAGGAATTTTATTCCAGATAAATAAATAAAATCCTCATAATAATTTTTTGATGAATACAAAAATTAGATCATTTAAATTCTGAGTTCTCCTTGTTGTAATGTAAACATGAATATATCTACACTCTGAAGTATTTTATTATAATCTTTTCTCTTTTAATCAATTAAATTGCCAAACAAGTTAGTTCAGAAATAGAATAACTTTTAAAATTTCAAAATGATAGGCAGCTAAAGATTATCAGGATTTCAGAAAACGTACAATTTACTGAGGTTACAGTCAAGTGCCTTGCAACTTCCTGAGTGAGGCTAAATTGATGACATTTCATGTTGAGAAACTTCCGTTACAAGCAGAAGTTCTGAGAAAAATAATATGAAGAAATTTTAGATACTCCATCACCTCACACACGCACGCACTTCCATCCTCCCCACAACCATCAAAGAAACTTGAATAACTAATTTGCATACAGACTTCAAGTACTCTTTCATAAAGTGAGAAGTCACGCTACAATCATGTAAAGGTTGAGAGCAAAATGAAAGGGACTAAATGTAGGTAAAAGAACAGCAGCTTCTAAACTTGACCAGGTTTCTTGGCTATGGAAATGAGATAAAAGCAACACTCCTTTTACGTGGCCTCCTACTTAACTGCCGAATTCCTCTGATCACACCCAATGTTCACCTAAACATAGAGACTGGAGGAGATCATGGAGTTGAAGCATCTGGTTTGAAAATTGTGTGACTCTGGGCGGGTCATTTATCCTCTAAGCTTAGTCCTTTTTTCTTAAATCTACAAAATGTTGTCAATTAAATGAGATAATGTGTGTAAAGCACACAGCACAATGCATGTAGTATGTGCATAAAAACAGCTACTGCTATTATTTCCACAACGTCATTTTTATTCATTGATGTCTGGACATTCAGTGGAAGCAGTGCACAGGCTGCCACGATGTAGGCATGGACTTGCAGGCATTTGAAGTTCTTAAGACGCAAATTGTCTCAGAGCTATGACCACTGTGTTTGTCAGAAGCAATGAGAGAGAGTCAGCTGGCTTAAGAGAACTTCTCAGATGAATGACCATTTCTTCATGAAAGAATATTTCTTTGTTTACTCCTAACCAGCTTAGGAAGAGGCTGCGCTATATTTAGCTCTCATTCCTCACATCTAGCATGTGATAGGAGTACTCATCTGTTTTTTTGTTTATTTGTTTTTGTTTTTGAGATGGAGTCTCACTCTGTCACCCAGGCTGGAGTGCAGCAGCAGGATCTTGGCTCACTGCAACCTCCACCTCCTGGGCTCAAGCGATTCTCCCACCTCAGCCTCCCGAGTAGCTGGATTACGGGTGTGCACCACGGTGCCTGGCTAACTTTTTTGTATTTTAGTAGAGACCGGGTTTCACCATGTTGCCCAGGGTGATTTTGAACTCCTGAGTTCATGGAATCCACCTGCCTGGGCCTCCCAAAGTGCTGGGATCACAGGCGTGAGCCACTGTGCCCCGCTGGAGTACTCATTTGTGAAGAATGAAGGATTTATAAATAAATGCCTAATGAATAAGTGAAAAAATAAAAGTTTTGGGGTTATTACTGCTATTAGTGCACCTTGGACCCTGGTCTCCGACAAATTATGGAGTCATAACTCATTGTGCTATAGGCAGCAGAGAAGCCCTTAGGAAGGCAGCTTAAATGTAGATATTTACCTATTTATAAAGCTTAAGAGCATTTAGGCAAATAATCTGCCATGGGAAATCGAAGGGCAGAAAGAGGCTGAGAGGCTTCCAGGAACATATATGGCCTTTGAACAACTCTCCCTTCCCTATCTTCATCATGCAAACCTCTCACATTTGAATTACCAACAGTTAGAGTATCAGAAGGTCTGTGTGACGTCCATTATAAGTTAAGAAACCATGCGGGAAGAATGTAAAAAAATGACATTAGTATATTCCGTGGTTTCTTTTGACCTTCTGGGGTCCCTGATGGGCCTGAGTGCAAAGCAGCATTTCCTCATAGGGCAGGAGTAGAATCCTGATGTGTAAGGCTAACAGGATCATTTCCTTTCTGAGTTCTTGGGCACTAGGCCAAGTGAATGGGCAGGAATCATTCCAGTTGCCGAGTAAAATGGGGTGAAAAGCACTTCTGGCACACTGTGTCCATATAAATTATACTTGTTTGCAATTCATCAACTCCTTCTCTCCTTTATATCCATATGTAATGTAAATGATCATCTTTCTCTGAAGCTCCATAATGATGCAAAGCTCAAAAATGTGATAGAATCAGCTAAAAGAGAGCAGATGGAAGTTTATCCCCCAATATGCATATTCATAAAAAAATAGAGAACTCAACAAAAGGAGATACATAAGTACTTTTACCCGGGGGCTGCACGGACTTCTGTATGACAGTAAGTTGGTTTTCTGCAACTGTTAATTCTGGAAACCTTTACTCATTCGTTTCTGCAGCAGTCATTGAAAATGCTCTGGGGAAAAAAAAGCTGTCTCTGTAGGAAACAAATACATTTCCCTTTGGATTTTTATCGCACCTTAGAATCCATGATTCAGGAAGTAATGGTTAAATATTTTAC